AGCCACATGCGGCTCTTTGGCCCCTTGAGTGTGGCCACAAAGTTTCAAGCGCACTGTACGTGTGCGCCCACACGTGGTATTTTGTGGAAGAGCCACACTCAAGGGGCCGCAGTTTGCCGACCACTGCTCTATATCATTAAAGCACATGCTTCCTTCTGCTTCTTTTTGCTTATTCCTATTTTTATTGGTAAAAAATGCATACTGTAAGGCTTATACCAGTAAATCTGAAATCTTGATGAATGTTTATATTCCTGTACAGCTATGTAATCACACCCAGATCTAAATATAGATCACTGTCCTCACCTCGAAACATTCTCCCATGTTCTGTTCCATTCAATACCCCTGCCCTTGAGTAACAACTCCTCTGACCTCCCATCACCATTGCCAAGTTGTGCCAGTTCTGGAATTTCGTATGAACGGGATTACACAGTACATATATTTTGGTATGCGGTTTCTTTCACACTCTGCTACTTATTCATTTTAAAAAAAATTTAAGTGTTATCTATTAATTTCTGTCTTAGTCTGTTCAGGCTGCTAAAACAAAATACCACAGTCTGGGTGGATTACAAACAACAGACTTATTTCTCACAGTTCTGGAGACTGGACGTCCAAGGTCAAGGCACAGGCAGACTCAGTGTCTGGTGAGAACCCACGCCCTGGTTCTAGCTGATGCTTCTCGCTGTGTCCTCGCAGGTGGAAGGAGCAAGGGAGTCTGTGGGGTCTCTCTCATAGGTGCACTGATACCGTTCATGAGAACTCCAACCTCGTGCCTTAAGCACCTTCTGAAGGCCCTGCCCCTAATACCGTTGGGCATTAGGATTTCAACATATGAATTTGACAGGTTCATAAACATTCAGACATACAGTGGAATAAAAGGAGTTAGCCCTCTTTCATTTACCTTCACTAACCCATTCCCATTAAAATTATGTCACAACCCCATGCATCATTTGTAGCATCATATTTGTGATGTCATTGTTTATATTAAACACAACCCAAAGCTGAGTAAACACAATACAAAGCTGAGTCTTGAAGTATATAATGATTACAAATCCTTTCTATTTCTATTTTCCTTGGAGTGAATACTTGTATTCTTTGTCCATTTGTTTAGCTCTTCATGTACCTGCCATTAATTCATCTCCAAACTCTTCACCTCAAGTGTCAAGTTCCTCTAAACACATTGAGCCCCAGCAGATATTCCCTGAGTTTCATATTCTGGGAGCTGTGTCTCCTGGGGCCTCTAGTTCTGCTCTAGTCTGGACAGCTGCACGGCTGTCATTCTGATATCTCCTTTCACCATCGTCTGGGGATCCTCACCTTGCTCCTGTGTTAGATTTCTGTTGCCTAGATTTCATAGCTTCCTCTTTGAGAGAGAAAAGGTACACTTTTTTCCCCCAGAAAAAAGGTACACTGGAGGCAAACTGTTTGAGAACTTGTGTGTCTGAATACTAGTATATCTTTTTCTATCTTTACGCTTTTTTTTAAAGTAAATCGGGTTAATTCCAGCACTTTTTTAATAATATATTTTCATTGATTTCATAGAGGAAGGGAGAGGGAGAGAGAGAGAGAAGCATCAATGCTGAGAGAGAATCATTGATCGGCTGCCTCCTGCATGCCCCACACTGGGGATTGAACCCACCACCCAGGTATGTGCCCTGGCTGGGAATCAAACCATGACCTCCTGGTTCATATGTTGACGCTCAACCACCGAGCCATGCCAGCCGGGCTTCTATCTTCACTCTTGATTGGCAATCTGCTTGGGAATAGAATTACAGATTGGAAACATTAAACGCTGAATTTTGAAGGCGTTGCTCCATTATCTTTTTTCTCTCTCTCTCTCTCATTAGATTATATTTTTATTGGGATTGTTTTAAAAATCAGAGATGACAGTGATGCTAGACTCCCAGTAAGTCCCCTTCCAATGAGGAACTATTAAGAACAGAAATTGACATTTCTAGAGAGCAGCTTTATTTTTATTCCATGAGAAACTTTTTGAATTTTTTCTTTATTGATTAAGGTATTATATATGTGTCCTTTAACTGACAATGCTAACACTGCCATTCCAATTCCTGACCTTTTGCTATTATTTTTTCTTGCTCTCTCTGAAAAGTTATAGGTTCTTCTCTTTGTCCTTTCTGTTCTGAATTTTCATGAAGGTGTACCTTGTGGGGTTGTGTGTGTGTGTGTGTGTGTGTATGTGTTTTAAATCTATTAGTGTGTGTGTGTGTGTGTGTGTGTGTGTTTTAAATCTATTGTACTAGGCACTGTGTTGTTCCTTCAGTCTAGAAACACAAGCCCTCTACTTGTGGGAAGTTTTCTAAATTTTGTATTTGCTCATTTCACCATCCATTTTCTCTGTCCTCTTTTTCTGAAACTCTTATTACTCAGATGTTAGATCTCATACTTTGATCTTTTAATGTTTATAGTTTTCTACCTGCCATCTTTGTCTTCTAGTTGACTTTCTTGAAGATATCCTTACCTTTCAAGTCTCTTACTAAGTTTTCCATTTCTGTTGTCATACTTTTCGTTTTAAATAACTCCTTTTTTGTTCTCTAAATGTTCTTCCTCCATAGCATTATATTCTTGTTTTGTAGATGCAATATCTTCTTATATATCTCTGAAGACATTAATGATATATTTTTATTTGCTTGTTTCAGTTTCTTCCTGCTTGCCTCTACTTCTTCTGGCTTCCGTTTTCTGCTTTCCCATACTTCTTTCTCATATATAGTTGATGAATGGTTGCCCATTTATATTTAAGAGTGAGCCACTAAACAGCTGATTAAATACTCTGTGAGTACTGGCGGGCTGCTGAATGGTGGACTAATCATAGGGTGCTTTAGTTGAGCTGTTTCATTGGGGGACCCCTACTGCAGTACCTTTAGATGTTTTCTCTTGTGCTGGTTGGAGAGAAATGTCCCATCTGTTGTCCAAAGGCTATGAGTCTGGCTGCCAACATTCTGAGATCTTTGTGGATGAATAGGGTTGAGGGGGTCTTTTAATATATAGACATCAGTTTTACCCCCCAGTTTTCAGCACAGACTCCCCCCTTTGGCTGGGCTTAAAGGAGGGACTTGCAACCCAGAGTTCCTGGTTCATCCCTTTCAGAGGATTAACCTTCAGTGTTCTGCTGTAGTGGAAGGGATAGGAAAATCTAAATGTTTTCTCGATTTTCAACCTATTTTCCTGTTTTCAGCCCACCTTCACCTCCACTTTAAGAGATCTTATTGCTGCCAACTCTAGAGCCCTTCTAGGTTCTGTGGTGCTTCCGTGTCCACTTTCTTAGGTTTGCCAATCCAGTCACTCCTTCATCTGCCTTCCAGACCCCATGGTGCCATCGCCTTTTCCCCCTCCTCTTCATCTTTGTGGGTGTAGCCTCTTTTAAAAATTTCTTTGTACAAGAATATTCAGAAAGAGAAGATGTACAACCTTCTATCTTTACCTGGGGGCCCGTGTGTATTCTGTCTTGATCCCTGCTTTGTCTTGCCCCAGCCACATTCCTTTCAGGCCCCCAGGGGTGCTGCATGGCCCATTAGCCCACCTTTAAGGACCAGATACAGATATGGAAGAAACAGGGTCAATACAGAGAATGGCTCATAGAAGGTGAATGTCCTCTCAGTTGTAGGAAAACTCCTTTAAGGACACTTGCTGAAGTTGATTAATTTTCAATTTTTTCCTCTTATCAAAGAAGTGTGGTGTTATTAAAGATTTAGAAAAAGTAGAATTTTTTATTGCATCTGTTTCTGCTTCTAAAGAAATATGTTTTCATGTTGATATATTTCCTGTTAGTAATTTTTGTTACCAGAGTTTTACCATTACTGCGAAGTAGGAGATGGGTACAGGGTCTCCTTACCTGCATTGCACACAGGGCTGCCTCTGTCATTCAATGTCTAACTACCTCCACCTTCCCAGTGAGGGAAGAATCTTGTCACCCATTCAACAACTAATCACTGAGCACCATTCTCCCTATTGGAAGGGAGGGGAAAGCCCAGGAGGGGGGAAATTCTAAAGGAAACAAGACAGTACATTAGCCTTCAAGATGCTCTCATGGTGGGATGGGGGAAGGGAGGTGGACTGCAGAAGCAAGGCACATGGCAGGACAGGGAGGCTGCATTTGTAGAGGAGGGAAAAGGCCTGGGAGGTGGGAGTGCAGGTTCTGGAACAGCAGGACCTTGCCTCATTGCCTCATTGCCTCATTCCAGGTGAGGCTGGAAATGTGGGGCCCTATTATAGCAGATCTGGTGTCTGGCTAAGGAGTTTGTCCTTAAGGTAATGGATATGAGTGCCAGCCATTGAAGGCTTTGGAGCAGGGACAGGGCAAAATCAAGGCTACCCTTTAAGGGATCAGTCTGGAAGGGGGCTTCCCCTCTCTGGCTCCAAGCCTCTGACGCCCCCCTCCTCCACCTCCCCGCCTCCTTTCTCTCACGGCAGGTGTGGATGATGGCGCAGACATCCCCAGGGAGCTGGTGGTGGGCATCTATGAAAGGATACAGCAGAAAGAGCTCAAGTCTAATGAGGACCACGTCACGTATGTCACCAAGGTGGAGAAGTCCATCGTGGGCATGAAGACAGTAAGTGCCCGCTGTAGAACAGTACCCCTGGGGGATCACATCCTCTCCTGTGTCTGCTAAGCTCCCCCATCACCTCTCCTCTCATTTCTTTCTTCCTGACATCTCCTCCCATTCTCCTCCTTGCCGTTCAAGAACACTCTTCCCTTACTCTTGCACTTAGTAGTTACTGAGTCCCTGCTGGGTCTCGTAGACTGCACCCTCTTTTTTTCCTTGCGTTATTGCCTTTTGCTCCAGCTGCTGCAGCAGGAGAGACAGAGGTGAGGTGTGGGGCAGACTGCCCAGTGCTCTAGGGTTGAAGCATCTGGATGACTAAATAGGGAGGTTTAGGAAGGGGTGGATCCTGGGCATGCCTGTCTGGTCCTACTGGATAGACACAGAGAATAGGCTAACATAGGCTTTGGACTGTGGTGTCTTGAACCACTGGGGTCACAGGAAATATGTTGTGGTTTTGCAGTGATTTTTATGTTGTGGTTTTGCAGTTCTCTGTAGTTTATTGCTCTACTTACATGCCAGCGGGGGCTCTTTATGCCATAAATACAAAGGGTGTGGAGTCAGTTCTGGGATCTGTCTCCAGTTCCTCCTCCCTCGATTGCTGGGGGGCACTTCAGGGACCTTGTGAGGCTGTGCACTGGGTCCGCTGCCCAGTCTGTGCAGGGAGAGCCCTATTCTGCCCAGAGCCTATATGCTGAGGTTTTAGTGTCTATCTGATCTTCAGATGCCACTGGAGTGGATAGTTTTACACCCTGGAGCAGATTCAAGGTGTCCCTATAGTCCCCTCCCTCTTGCACACTTGCGTTTAGGTGTGCAGTGGAAAGGGGTGGGGTGCTATCCTACAGGCCACAGCCTGGGACATGGGGTGCCCTGAAGAAGGTCTTGGAGGGAAACAGTTGACAGTGACTGGATATGAACAGTCTGACAGCGCTTATCAACTGTCTTTCCCATCCCTTCACCTCCTCATTTACTCCAGCATACAGAGCCCTTCACCCCAGCCTTGCTCCCTAAGAAACGTGATGAAGGGGAAAGGACCCCAGTGAGGAGAGAGGGGGTTTAGGGTCAGCTCGGGCCTGTAATAGAGCCCTGGCCCTCCATCTGCTGGGAAATGGGTGCTGTGGGGCGGGGAGGGCCGTGAGCTCTGGGCGCCTCCTGCTGAGCACGTGCCCCTCTCCAGGTGCTGTCAGTGCCCCATCGCCGCCTGGTCTGCTGCAGCCGGCTCTTTGAGGTGACAGACGTGAACAAGCTGCAGAAGCAGGCCGCACATCAGAGGGAGGTGTTCCTCTTCAACGACCTGCTGGTGGTGAGCGACCGGCCCAGGGCTCCTCTGCCCTGCTCAGCCTCAGCAGGGACCCCCTAGAGGGGCCAAAGGGGCCTCCCAGATTTCACACCGAGTGCTGTGTGCTTAGTGGCTGATTTACCTTGTTCGTGGCATTTTCACATTGTGGGTGTGAGGTAGCTCAGGTGGATAGGATCATTTCTACCTTATAAGTTATGAAACCGAGGCAACGAGAGGTTAAATCATTTCCCCGGTCACAGTGGAAATGAACTAGATTCTGATCCTCCTTCTCTCCATTTAGCGGAAGCCTGGGTCAGGCAGGGTAAAGGGATGCACTTCATGTCCCACAGCCAGGGTGTACGGTGCTGGGCGGTGGACCTCAGCGGGGCATGTGCTGTCCCTGGGCCTGAAGGGATGCTGGTGTGTGTGTGTGCATGTGTGCGTGTGTGTGTGTGTGTGTGTGCGAGCATCTGCATCTGTATGGTACTCATTCTTTGGTCTTTGAAGCCAGGTATCCATTCCACACATGTTCAGTGAATGCCCACTGTGTGCAGGCATTGTTGTAAGTGCAAACTGGTGAACAGGATTTGGTTTCTGTCTTTCCTTCAATCCCCACATCCCCTCTATCCATGAGTCGTGTTGGCACTAAATCTAAAACTATCCCAAATCTAATGCTCACACGCAGGACCCATCTGCCACAGCCAGGAGTGGTCCTTCCAGAGTGCAGATCAGGCCTGTCTGCCATGCTTCAGACCTGACCCTGGCTTCTGGTGCAGGAGAAGGAAGTCCCACGGCCCTCCAGGACCTCTGACCTCTGACCTCATGTCCCCCTCTCTCTTCCCTGGCTGCTCTAGCACCTTGGGCCCCGCAGGCTGCCTCTCATGGGCCGGGCGCATTCCATCACCAGCCTTTGTTCTTGCTGCTAAGTCTGCTTGAAAAGCTCCTCCCCTCACCCCTCCTCCCCCACCTGTGCCACCACCCTCCCTGCATTCAGTTCCAGCATCACCTCCTCACACAGGCCCTCCCTGCCCACCTAGCAAGGGAACCTGCCAGCCACTGTCTAATCCTTACCCTATTTCATTTTCTTCAAAACACTTCTCAGTTTCTGAAATTACCTTATCTATCCATTTCTTCACCTTTTTTTTGCTTATTGTGCATTATTGACCCAGCTGTTCCTCCTCCGCCGATAAGCATCCTGAGGGCAGGGCTCTCTGTCTCCCATTCTCCTGTGTCCCCAGAGTCCAGCTCAATATTTTGTGTATTGAGCAACTGGCTTACAGAGTTTTCATTTTAGTAGAGAAGAAAGATAAAAAAAAATAATTAAGAAGACAAATAAAGAAGATAATACCAAATTGAGAGGAAGGTGCTATGAAGAAATAAAACAGGTGATAGGCTCAGGAGGACGGTGTTCAGGTGGACTTCTTTGTTTGTTTATTTTGTTGGTTTTTTAGGTAGGATGCTCAAGGAAGGCATCTCTAAGGAGACACATTTCATTTCAGATCTAAGTAATGAGAGTAACCCAGCTGTGCAGACAGCTGCAGGGAGAGCTGTGGAAAGGAAATAGCATGAGCAAAGGGCCTGCGGTGGACTGAGCCCAGCTGCAGGGAGAGCTGTGGAAAGGAAATAGCATGAGGAAAGGGCTGAGCTTGCCCTGTTCAAGCTACAGAAAGGGCGAGAGTGTGGCTTGAGCATAAGCCAGAGTAAGGCAGGGACCAGATCAGGTAGGGCAGGAAGTGTGGCTTGGCTTCTTCTAAGTGCAGAGGGAATAGCCACTGGAGGGTCTTAGGCAGTAAACACACACGCACACACACACACATTTTGATGCAGGGAGTGTTTATACACACACACACACACACACACACACACACATTTTGATGCAGGGAGTGTTTATTTACGTGGATATGTGTGTGTGTACATGTAGATGTATATGTACGTGTGTGAATCTATCCTAAGTACATAAGTGTGTATGTGTGTGCATGTATCTTTGCGTGCATCTGCTTGTGTGTTCAGGACTGTCCTGGGGGTCCATGCATCCGGGCACATGCATGCCAACACCCGCCAGTGCATCTCTGTCTCCCTCTCCTGACAGATCCTCAAGCTTTGCCCAAAGAAGAAGAGCTCCTCCACATACACCTTCTGCAAGTCGGTGGGCCTGCTGGGCATGCAGTTCCACCTCTTTGAGAATGAGTGTGAGTCTCCGTGGGACCCGGAGATGCCGCAGAGGATGGTTGGGGGGAGTTGAGGGCTGTAGGGAGGGTGGAAGGACAAGCATGCCGGCTGACTCCAGCCTCGCCCGCTGCTGCTCACGGCCCATGGGCCTGGGTCTGGTTTCCAGATTACTCTCATGGCATCACCCTGGCGACCCCGCTCTCGGGCTCTGAGAAGAAGCAGGTGCTGCATTTCTGTGCCCTGGGCTCAGACGAGATGCAGAAGTTTGTGGAGGACCTGAAGGAGTCCATCGCGGAGGTGACGGAACTGGAGCAGATCCGGAGAGAGTGTAAGGACACAGTCAACCCAGGCTTTCTGAGGTGGTCCGCAGGGAGGGTGGGCCAGCTCCCAGTCAGCAAGGGACAGAGTGGGCTTGGAGACAGACATGCTCTGCCTCCTTCCCCCACTTTGGACTGAGTGTGGGGTGAGCCAAGGCCCCTCCTGCCGTCCTGAACCCTCCCCGGCCCACTGCCCATCACGGCTCCGTGTGGCTGCACTGCTCTTCTGTTTCTTCTCAGGTAAAGCGAGGTCGGCCAGAGCTGCGTGCGCGCACGTGTGTGTGTGTGTGTGTGTGTGTGTGTGTGTGTGTGCAGATGCGCCCCTTGGAAGTGAGAACTCCCTGTTTGGACGGGACACTGAGCGAGCTGGCCAAGGCAGCCTGCAAACCAAAGAGGTCCGGGACCCAGCTTCTCTCCCATCAAATTCCCTGTTCAACCTCTTCCCCTGGATCCAGTCCGGGTTCACACACTACATCTGGTTGTTTCATTTCTTTCGTCTGTTTTCATCTCAAATAGTCGTCCCACCTAGTTTTTCATGGCGTGTTTAGAAGAGCCAGGCTGGTTCTCCGACTGCCCCTCACTTGGTCTTTCCGCATTTCTTTCGTCTGTTTTCATCTCAAATAGTCGTCCCGACTGCCCCTCACTTGGTCTTTCTTTCCCTCTAAGGAAAGCCTTGGTTCTTGACTGTTCCAGTTCAGGCGGTTAGAACACATGGGACTCTGCTTTACTGGTTGCTTTTTTACTTGTGTCCATTTGCAAGCTTTTACTGTTGAAGCACTGCTGTGGCTTCAGGTAGCCTTTCAGACAAGAATGGATTCAGAAAGTAAAACAGAAATAAAACTAAACTTCAGGTCTGCCTTATACAGCCACTTAGTTGAAAAGTATTTCTAAAATCATAAAAATCTACCCTGGCTTGGTAGCTCAGTTGGGTGGAACACCGTCCCATACACCAAAAGGTTGCAGGTTTGATTCCCAGTCAGGGCACATTCCTAGGTTGTGGGTTCAATCACTAGTAAGGGAGGCAACCAATCAATGTTTCTCCTCTCTCTCTCTCTCTCTCTCTCTCTCTCTCTCTCAAAATCAATAAATATATCCTCTAGTGAGGATTAAAATAAAATCATAAAAATGTACACAACAGGAGAGGCAGTGGGAGTTTTTGAGCCAGAGCTGTATTACATAGTATTGCTTTTTAATCAGTGTTTGGGATCACCTACTATGTGCCAGGCAGTTTCTTATGTTCCACTAATCCTCACACGGATGCTGCACAGTGGGTGCATTGTCCCCATTTGCCTGATAAGTCAGAGACGTTAAGGGGATATGTCCAAGGTCATGCATATTAAAAGCAGAGGAGCTGGAATTTGCATTTGTCTGATTTTGAGGTACTTTCCACTGGGAGGGAGAACAGAAGTTTTGTTGACAATTTCCTAAGAAAACAACCATAACTAAATCAAGTTAAAACAAGAAAACCGCCCTAGACCAGACTATATAACTGGAGTCACTGGGTGGAGGGAGGGTGTTTAAATTCCCTTTCGGCACTCCATTGCAATGCTGGAGCTCACAGTGTAAACAACAGACTCTTTAAAGGGGGCTGGGTTGCATGTTCAGAGATGTTACTTGGGCCATTGATCTTGAACATTCTCGAGGACACACCCTGAAATGGCTTCACTTCTCTCATCATCAGAATGTCACAGGTGCCTCCACACAGCCCCGAGGAGCCACAGTGGGCCCATGGGCACCAGCTTTGCTGGGAGAGGAACCTTTTCCCATCTGCCTGTGAGCAGCCCATCGTGTATCTCCCCAGAGTACAAAGGCGTAGACATCGCCAGAATCTGTATGCCAGGAGCTGAATATCCTCTCCTGCTGTCTAGAGGGAAGGGACTTAAGGAGAGACATCTAGCTCTGATTCTTCAGATGAGGAGGAAGGAAAGGCGAGTTGAGGGAAGATGCAGGGCTGGGCAGGGAGGCAGGGAGTCAAGGAGAAAGGAGGAAATGAAAATCAGCCACAGCTACTGCTTACTGAGCACCGATTTCCCCAAAGCTGAGAAAGCCCCTCTGCGGGGAGAGGAACGAAGCTCAGTTCAGTAACAGTATTTCGTATTGATTGATGCTGTGATTCAGGCAATCAGGACAAATGGTCTTGGTTCGGGGCTTTGCAGTCTGTGTCCCTGGATTATAGACAACCAGAGAGGCAGGAAATGGGACCCAGGAGAATAGCTTTAATAAAAGAAACTTGAGTTATGTCTCCTGGAAGAGAGAAGCTGGAGTGATTTAATAATGACTGTCAAATCTCCAAGGATGGTAACTGGCAGTTCTCTAGCAGCACCCAGAGAACAAGGAGGAACAGGTTTACAGTCTAGAGAGAAAAATTGAAATTGAATACCAAGACTCAGTTGAGTACCAAGACAGATGCCCTGGCCATGCGGGCTGTGCAGCACTGACAGACCCCCTCCTCCCCGGGCACGTGGGTCTCTCCGGGGAGACTCAGAAAACACTGTGGAAGCACCGCAGGCTGGGGCCTCAGAGCCCTGGGGAGCATGGCGGGCAGGCTAGACGTCACCAAAGTCTGCTGTGCCAAGTGATCTTACACATTGTAATGAAAGATATTTATTGAGCACTTGCCACCGCCAGGTCTTGTTCTAAGTGCCTTAATATATTTCCTCGTGTAAATCCCCTTAATGATGCTTTGAACTGGGCACTGCTATCCCTCAGGTGAAGCATGGAGGAGTTCAGTAACTTGCCTAAAGTGACACAGAATGTATCAGAACCAGGATTCAAACCCACACAGCCCACCTTCCTCTTCTTAACCTCCTCTACAGTCAAGCAGGTATTTCATCCCCATATACAGATGAAGAAACTGAGGCTCCAGAAGATAGTAATTGCCATGAAGTGGGGTGCCAGACCCTGCGGCCCACCTTTTGTAGCATGTGTCAAGGATTCGTTCTCATCCTGCTCTCTCTGCTTCTTCGTGTGTTTTTTTCTTGTGGTCGAGGTTAGGGTTTCTCTCTGTTCATGAGCCTCTCCATTCCCTAGGGGAGCTGGAGAAGCAGCAGGGAGCAAAGACACGCTCCTTCAAGTCTGGAGGAGCCCAGGTGGATCCGCAGTTGAAGCAGGGATCGCCTACAGGTGAGCCTTGGCCCTGCTCTGGAGTTTCAGACCCCAGGCCTGGATGGCTGGGCCAGGGAGGGCATGGAGGCCACTTACCGCCTCTGGGCATGGGTTCCTGGGGGATTGGGGTGAGGGAAGTGCTCGTTTCCATGGCCCTTTCTCCCTGCTGAGGAGCTCCAGGCTTCCTCTCATGGGGCCTTCATAGTGGGAGTGAGGAGGAAGGAGAGAGACTGCCCAGGGCCCGGCGTCCACCTGCTGCCCACCATGGGGAGTCAGGCCCGAGCCCTGATAACCCTGGCCCTAGTGAGGACACCTTCTGCCCTCACACACCCAGGCTCTCAGAAGACTGCTGGTTCATGGGGTGTTGAATTATTCACTCCACACAAATGAAGCCAGCTCTCGGCTTTATACCCCCATTGGCCATGCTCCTAGGTCTGCTTCCTTCCTCCCACTGACACCTCTACCTACCTACACCTTGCTCTCCCCTCACCCCCACCTTCAGGGAAGACTTACTCCACCTTCACAGTCCCAAAGGAAAAAGAATTAGGAGAGGTGGCATGAGAATTAAACCCCATCACATCAAACCCCCAGCAAACTACCCAGAACTATGCGCCCATTAATTCATTCAGGCACCTATTCTTACGTGTAACAAACATTTACGAGTGCCTGCTGCGTGTCCCGCGTTAAGCACTGGGAAGCCAGGGTCCTAGCAAGACGTCATCGGCTTGAGCCTAGAAACTCCATGCTGGTCCACACCCCCCAGTGACGGCCAGGACGCCATGCTGCTGCAGCACACGAGCTCACAGGGCGGGTCACACCAGCTGGGAGATGTGACTCATTTTCTAGGCAGGACTGAGAGCTCTTTGAGCTGCATGGAGATGCTCACTGTGATGTCACCTTCTGTACTGGAGTTTGACCTGCCATCATGCATTCGTGATTCTCCCCCACCTCTCGCCCCCGCCTGCTTTTCAGCCGGCCCCTTTCTTTCTGTCAGGTCACAGCTGCTTGTTTCCGCAGCTGTTTATCCAGAGCTGAATTGCAGCTGTGATCGACTCCCTGACAGCCCACTGCACACTCTGCAGCCCAGCTGCCTCTTTGAAGCTGCAGCCCTGGTCAGACGAGCCCTGTCCCCCAGGTCCTGTCCCCCCA